CATTTGACAAAATGTAATATTGGTTGAAGATTCTGACCATTTCAGACCTTTGAAAGCTTGGAAGGTGCATACATAACAGAGCGATGCTACAGCATTCATATACATAGAAATTATAGCAGTCCCACAATTATCAAGCAGGAGGATGATACCATGTTGAATGGAAAACATTCATAATTCTAGATAATTCCAAATGTCGGAGAATACACTTTGGAATTTCCAAAAGAGTGAAAAGGCAAGAAGTAAACCGGAATGCGGCAAACAACAACACCATTCTTAACAAATAGAACTTTATTTCATGGGTTTCTTTGTCTTGGGATCAATTTGTTGTAGCAGCTCAACAATCTCGCATTCCTCAACAACAGAATGAATGTGCAAGACAGCTTTATACCCAGCCGTGAATATTGCCTAATATAGCAGAGACAGTCCAATACCATTAGATGCAAGGTTAATCAAATGAACTAACAGATTACACATGAGAGAAGACTTCATAAAGTGGATTCATTCATACGTTGTCAAGCAACTCAAGGATCTGCAGCTGGGCAGTAAATTCAGTGACTGTTGGTATTGGTTTTGCTGAGTAAAAAAGGGAAAAAAAAAGATATAATTCAGCAAAACTTAAACAAAATCACAAATAACAAAAACATCACGATCAAAATTAGAAAATAAGTATAGAGAGGGATGGTGAGGCCAAGACATTTTACTTGTTAGGATAGTCGCAGCATTGCTGTCAAAAACTACAAAAGAATGGAAATATTTCAGCAAACAAATTTGTGAATTATCCTACCATTTACATTTTGACTCCACTTTTTATGATCTAATTTCCTCTTTAGGAGATCAAACATGAGAGCCTTCAGTTTTTACAATCTTTAAGAGCACTTCCCAACACTACACAAGACAAAACCAGATAATATGTTCTCTTCTTCAATTCCAGATAACTTAACTCGCAGATTTTCATGAGGTCCAGCACGTGTAGCCTTATCTTCATCACAGTAAATGGCAAGAACTTTCACTTGAGCCTGCCATCCATGCATCTTGGACTTCAGAATTGAGGTTTAACAATAAATAAACAAATAAGGAAATTAAGGGAAAGACTAAGCACCTTGTTTGGCATTACCAATAAGGAATCACCCTCACGCATGGCACCAGATTTAACCTTTCCCATTATGACAGTTCCCATGTCTTTAAATTTGTCAATTATAGGCATCCTGCATATTTAGAAAACATATAGTTAATAGATGTGAAACGAAAAATTGATACAGCCTTGATAATTCAGAATCTACATTGTGTAACTTTAATTTTAGCAATTTAGGGTTCTTTTTTATTATACTTAAGTTTTTCTATGTTCAGGGGCAGACTTAATATAATTTCAGTTCCATGATTTCAGTTTTCTTTTTAAAATATAATTTGGGTACATTTTGGTCATTCCAGGATCTTTAGGAGTTAACAGTTTTTAGGTTTTATTTTCTAGGAATCCTAGCCAGTTATTTACTTATCTTATGTTTGGAATCAAAGTCATGGGGACTCAAGAAATAGTCAGAGTCCTTACAAGTAACTATGTAGCCTTTTCTATAACAAAGGGAGAAAGGGTATAGTTATACAATTATACTTTCTTCCTGGAGTTGTACGAATTCCAACAGTAATAAATCATACCTAAAAGGATGTTTTGGATCTCGAGGAAGAATTTCAACTGCATCAAGAACTTTGAAGAGGCAGGGTCCATTCCATGAGGGGCATATGCTCCTGTCCAGTCTCGTTTCATGTTGGAACCAAGAAGACCAGATATTGGTAAGAACTGGACATCTACAGGTTCAGAATAAGATGAACAACACAATCAATATACAGAATTAATTGCCTTGCTTTTATTGAAAAAATACAAATAACTCACAATTTTAATTCAATCAATCACCATTTTTCTAAAACAAAAAAAGGAAAAAAAAATTCAAGATGCAATATAGCAATTAACTTTTTCACATTGTAGCCCAAAGACCTCAGAAATGGTACCATCTTCGATTCAATTTCATCATATCTGAGGGAGAATGCCATGAAGAATGAACCATCAGAACAAGAACACAGAAAAAAAACAGCATATATAATCATAAGCTTAACTAAATTCAGGAAGAGCACCTTTCTTTTGACGAGTTAACAGTGGGATCCTCCATTTTGTTCACAACCACGAACAGCGTAGAAACACCCAAAGTTTGTGCCAGCTCAACATGTTCACGGGTTTGCCCATCCCTCTCATATCCAGTTTTGAATTCCCCTTTATGGGCAGAAATAACCTAATTATGACAGTCAGATAGAGAACAAGACAGAGAAAGAGAAAGAATTAAAAATTCAAAAAATGGGACTTGTGCAAAACAAATGCAGTGAAGTGGTGCCTAACTCACAAGAACACCAATATCTGCTTGAGCTGCTCCACTGATCATATTTGGGACATAACTCTTGTCAGCCTGAACAAACAACCCAACACTCAAAGTTAAATCACATATTGAAGCAAAATTGATGGGAAATATACATTCAAAACACAACAAATTATAGCCAGAGAATACAAGAGCTGAGAATCTTATTCTGTAAACAAATTCACAACTTCCCTACATCAGTACTGTACATAACTCCATCATTTAGATTACAAACTTGTTCGCACGCACAAACTTGATCAGTACCTAGAATCATAAGTAGCTAAGCTGTCACATCTCAAAAATTCTAATAAAATGTAGTGAGGATGGCTTGCGGGCAGTGTTGCAAAATTAGGGATTAGTTGACTAGGTGGCACTGGTCACCGCACCACTTCACCCCTTGGATTGCCCAGATGAACAGTGGTCTGCAACAAAATTGTGCCATAATCCAAGAACCAAATCGGAAACTTTCTCAGAGGGCCCCGGTGAGCTACTCTGCTGGAGTTTCAGTCAGAAAGGTGGCAGAACGCACCCTCATGGGCTGGTGGCCAGAATCTGACCTGCAAACCAGACCCAACTCAGTTCCCAAAGGTTGAAGGTTGTGCTGAGTTAAATGATTAGCTGCGCTTTGATGTTATTTTTGGCAGTTTAGTCCTTTAAGTTTCGTAAACATGCTGTGCAGCCCTTAAATTTTCAACATTTTTCAATTCCTGATTTTTCTCCCATTTTTTAATGATTTTTTTGACCTTTTTTTGAAAAAAAATAAAAAATAAAAGGCAAAACATCCAGATGCATTATAGTTGCACCTGGGTGCTCCTAGCCACTAGGCGGTAGTCCGTCCACTCTGTTTTGCTACATTGCTTGCATGAAGGAGAGTTTCATTTAACAGAACTAAAAACCATCACATAATCTGTTTTTATATTGATCTGAAATTGTGCATCTTATTAAAGCATTAATTAGAAACTATCCCTCCCATCTATCCCTCATCTTTTTCAACCTCATAGAATCATATCATAATTCACAAAATACAGATGTACAAAAGCAATAAACTAGCTAAAACTTATAACCTTATCCAACAAAAATTACATAATGAAGACAGGAAATCATATAAAAAATACAAAATCATGGTGTTTTAGCTTCAAAATAATTGCTTACCGGTGCATCCAAAATGGTAAACCTAGTATTTTCGTTCTCAAAGCGTGCGCTTCCAACTTCCAGGGCAATACCCTACAATCAATTGTGTGAGATTGTGCAGATAACAAATAGCAATGGCATGTAGCTTCAAAATAATTGCTTACAGGTGCATCCAA